CAAAATGAAACATTTGGCACAACTGTATAAAACACAAATGCATATATGTTTTTTGTTCTTGATGGAGTCAATCAACAATGTATGGACACTAGAAAAATGTGTCGCGATGTTGCTCATATGACGTAATTTTAACAGCTGATTAAAATTCGGTAATAAATTAATAAAATCGTTATTTAAATATATAAAGTTGTCGATGCAAAATCCGCGTTTATTCAACCTTTGACGGAATGGTCAACTGATATGTGATCATCACATGGTAGGAAATCTACTGCAACATTATTTACCACCTTCTGTTTAATTTATGTGTGTATTTCAATATTTTAGTTTGTTTTCTGAATGTTGGTGTTTTTATCGTGAACTTTGTTTTCCATGTCTTCAAGTGTCATGTTTATATAATCTTCGGATTTGCGGTCAACACTATTAGACTGGGCAAATTCACAATAAATCGTCCATATTTATTAACCTACTAGATCCTATACTATGGACTTTGGCACTTAATAATTATGCAAATGTATGCATTTTGAAATCAGCCAATGAAAGGGCGAGGTCCGGTTAAATTGGGTATAAAAGTGTTGTCGTCAGGCAGCGAAGATTCAAAAACTGTCAGCCTTTTAGTGAATACAAGTATTTTCTGTATTTCTCTAATACAAATATGGCTCGAACCAAGCAAACAGCTCGAAAGTCTACTGGTGGTAAAGGTGGCAAAGGTTTACGCAAAAAGTTAGCTGCAAAACTTGGGCGAAAATCTCCTCGTGACAAATCTGGCGACGTGAAGACCAGACCCCATCGCTACAGACCAGGTACCGTCGCTCTACGTGAAATCCGTCGTTACCAGAAGAGTACCGAGCTACTGATTCTCAAAATTCCATTCCAGCGCCTTGTTCGTGAAATCACCGCACAATTCACCAGTACTATCAGGTACCAGTCGGCTGCCATCGGTGCATTACAGGAAGCGGCCGAAGCATATATGGTCGGTTTATTCGAAGACACCAATCTGTGTGCGATCCACGGCAAACGTGTCACCATCATGCCCAAAGACATTCACCTTGCTCGTCGAATCCGAGGCGGTACCTAGACGCTCGGACACAACGGTCATTTACTGGACTTCTTTTATTTCCTCAGTATGATACGTTTCCATTAACGAGTATCGCGTAAAATTTCTTCCGATTGTCAACATATATCAGTGTTATATTATGTGTGTATATTGCGCGCCGGAAAATAGAATGAATGTAATCAACATTCGGAAAAAAATGACATGCATATCTGAAGATGAAACCTTTTCTGTTTTGTAATGCATTTCATGTTTACAAATAGTGAAGCTATTATCCTATTATTTTGAAAAAACATATTTTCGTAATTGTCGTCTTTGTTTCAATCATCTTAGTTTCACAACTGTTTTGTATTTTACGACCAGAATATGGACGCAATTGTTGTTGTTGTTGTTGTTGTTGTTGTTTATATAAAATGAACTGAGTGAACATCGTTCTACCTAAATGTAGCGCTTGATAAAAATAACATTAGTTTAATAATGATTACTAAATAATATGACCGTGGTTTGATTTATATATTTTTACTTGCCAATTATATGAAATAAAACATCTTCCCACTGACTGTGTGACGTAATATCTATTTTTTTTTATTTGTATGCATGAACATGAGCTCCGTTTTGCACATTTGGAGTATTGCTTTATATCTCGGAGTTGAATACAATAACCACATTAAGAATTTATGGCTTTTCCCTCAAAATGTGTTTTCTGGACGCGTAGTATGCTTCAGTCAATGGAAATTTATGTTTATTTGGTCGGAAAATAAGAAATAAATTATCTACATTTTGATGGGCAAAAACACCCACTGTTACCATGACAACAGTTATAGTGAAACCGATTTTTGTAACCATGGTGTTTGGCGGTGACTGGATATAATGGAGCACTAATCTAGGGGCAACATA